GTGGGAGGCAGCCCGGGCCGCGGGGATGGGGCTGGGGATGGGGCTGTGCTGATGAGTGGGGCAGCGCTTGGCCCTGCAGTCGCTGCCCCCCGCCTCCCCGGGCCAGGCAACGCCGAGCCCCTCGGAGCTGCTTTGTGGCTCCTCTGGTGTCTCCTCCCCGGCGCTGTCTGCTCTTGTCCCTGTCACTCTCGCTTGCTGTTAACTGACTCCTTGGTGTCACGTCGTGGACAGTCCCTGTCTCTTCAGATGAATCCCGCTGCTGTCCTCGAGGCTTCTCCTTGCTGTTCCCAGCTGTCGGAGCCCAACAGCCAGATCCCCACTGCTGTCCCTTCATAGCTGTGGTTCCCCGGCGGCTAAGCCCCGGTGTCCGCAGCGTTGTGGCACATCCCCACCCTGCTCCTGCCCATGCAGCAGCCAGAGGAAGGGAGAGTGCCTCTCTCTGTGGCCGTTAAGTCAGTACCGCAGCAACTTGTGTTGCAACAGGCACAATTCTTGGCAGTCAGAAAAGAGAAGCCAGGCACTGGAGAGATGTAGGTAACATTACCATCTCTTTCCCGGGAGTCCCTTGCTGAGGCCCTGCTGGAGCTCATGGTTGCAGTGAAATTGCTTCGTGCTCTGTCTGAATTTTCTCAGATCCTTTATCGTTGCTGTCTTCAGCATCCGAGAAGAGATGTGGGTCATGTTTGGTCCCTGGTGCCCCTCTATACTGCAGCTGTATTTTCTTGGAATGTCTCTGATGCGCAGTGTTACTTACTATGGGTTGTAATCCCTCAGATCAGTGTGCGAAGGATCACCTCTGAAAATGTGGACATCCTAAAGGATGAAGAATGTCTTGGATTTGAAAGCTTGTCTTACTTTGTCCCATCTACATAGTTGGTCCAATAAAAGATCTCCTTAACAAATTCTTGACTCTTGCATAATTTCTGGATCAGCATGGCTACCACTTCTCTCTTATACTACCAAACCCTATAGGGAAGCCAGTTCCAAATGGGAGCATCGAGGAGAGAGAAGCATCTGCCTTCTCCTCGCTAGAACATTTTATTTTAGTCTATGAATTATTCAGTATCCCCGAGGCATGTGATTAGTATGGTCCATTGATGCATCTAAACTCAAATAATCTGGCTTCTTCAGGCTTGGATGCCAACACCATGTTATAGAGATACCTCACTACTGGCAAGACTATCACCCATTAAACTTTCCTTTATACCAGAACTAACTCATTAACATGTAGGAGACCAGAAGGCACTTATTATAGGGGGGGAAAAATCAGTTTAGTTTTAGGTTTAGGAAGCAAATTCAAACTGTTTAGACACTCCTTACATTTAAAAAGAACTAGAAACTCACTTCTTTTGGAAGAAGAGCTGGCTCACAGTTGGGTTTTTTTAGTGCTATTTCCTACCCTTTTTCTTTAGATGCTTTGGTTTCCTTTCTTGTTCCCTTTCTTTCATACTGCTCTTCTGATGAACCCTCTCCCAGCTTCTTATTAATGGTTTGTCCCTAACTACTCCCCATCTCTCTCATTCTGACAAGTCTTACTGCTGTCGTTACCCTTTTCTCCAGTTACGTCCTCATCAAATTCCAGTTCTTCCTCTCAAATTTTGTGAAACCTCCTGCTTCCATCAGTTTGTCTCCTGTTTTTCAAAAAACATCACCCATAGGCATCTGGTAGAGCGGACATGTGGTCCCCCTGACAGGGCTCTCCCTGATGTTGACGCTGCCGTCGGCTTCTGCGTATGCTCGCCAGCCCTGTCCCTGCCACCGACACTAGCTTCTGCGGGTGTCTCCCCCCAGACTCGAGAGGCACCAGTCCATGACATCACCTGAACATTCTATTCATTGTGGTCCAAATCCTAATTCTATCAAGTTTGCAATGCACTAATTGCTTACATGGGACCAGGATTTGGCTCTATATAATTTACTACAGTAATTAATAGAATCTTGCACCATATATGTTTGTCCCATTTCAAATCGATTAATTTTGTTCCTCAGTACCGTGAGATAAGACGAGGAGTAAAAAGAAGGAAAAGGGATAAAGTAGTTCCCAAGACCAGGGATGAATGAGCACAGACCATGTACCCCATTCATAACAACACTGGTTAGCCTCCATTCTTTCTTCATATCAGTATACAAATGCACACCCGTGCACAAATTGGATGCATGTGATTGTGGGAGACAGCAAGTAGCAGCACACCTCAAGGATCTGATCATGTTGTTTTTCAGGTTAAGTATCCTGATATGTCTCTCAGTTAAATGCATCTGATCAAAGCTTGCTATCACACAAGTATCTGCTGTTTTACAAAACTTTGTGGAAGCTGCAAACATCATTTACATATAAATCTGTCACACTAATGTGTTATATCCCTGATTCTATAAAAACATGAGTACTTAAGGGTTTAACAGTTAATATACAGTTGCTTTTTTCACTAATTCCCAGCATTGGTCATCATCCATAACAATCAGGTAAAGCAATTTCAGGTCTTGAATCTAGATGGGGGGCGGGAAAGGTGCATTAAACTTCTCTGACACATTGTGGTAGAGTTTTGTTATTTTTAGAGAAGATGAGGTCTTGGTTGTATTACTGTGACCAGATCAGGCCTTTTGAGCTCTGGTTGCATCAAGGTTCCACTCAAAGTTAGATGGATACGCTTAAAAAAAAAATCGACTTCTATTCTTTCAATTAAGTAAGGCTGATTATGATTCATAACACAGTTTCACTCCTCTACATTATGCTGCCCAGGTAGGTGTCTTCTAAGGGAGGTGAATGGAACCAATGCAGATGGATAGCTCTACTCCTTCACCAGTGTCAGAATTGGTAATATTAAAAAGTCTGTTATAGAGTATCTAGTTTCAGCTATATAGTGCCTGCTTACTCCTGTTTTACCACAGTGGGAGCTACAGCCTTTAGCATAGCAGGGGCTTGGTACATTTGTGGTGTGAATAAAGTCTCAACTTTATGACATTTGTTCTTCTGGATAGTGAGACCTGCTTAATAGCAATATGATTCAATAGTTTAGGGCACGAAATTAAGAATATTGTATCCCACTGAAACTTCAGGGAGACCTATATAATAATGTAATTACTCAGTTTTGGAATTTAGCCAGGGCAACAGTTAATTCCTCTCACTCTAGATATGACCTGGTACAAACCAAACCACGTATGCTTGTAAGAATGGAAACACCTTTTCACAAAGTCATCTGACTTCCTGTGCTCTGATGAAAAAATCCTGATTTCTTAGTGTTTCTTTGTTAGCTGGCTATTTTAGTATGAGCCAAACAAAAATACAATAAGTTGCCTCATCCACCATTTGAGATGCCAAGTTGCTTTACTATCATTGCACGGTCTACCTGAGGACTGTTGTCTACCCCACCATGATTTCTGACATCAGGTTTAGGTCTGTGTCAGTGATAGTTTATTTTTAGAGCTCTGATTTAGCAAATGAAAAAATAAGACTGGCTTAAACCCACTTGCAGATCACAATACAAAGATGCATGTGAGAGAGAGAGAGAGAAAGCAGATAATTTTCACAGGAATAAATCCTAGCAAAATGTTCCTACATTCAAAACTATGCAACCTAATACCATTAGTAACAATTTATATTGATATAGATTATAGTCTTTCATGATGAAGAATCTCAGAGCTCTAAAATAATTATACGCTTGTAGGACAAATTATACACAGGGATCATTTTACCAACTGCTGAAGTACAGGTACCCTGAGATGTGACCTGAATTCTGCTTAAGAGTATAGCATCCATGGATCCAGCCCTACCTTAGGAATAATGATCTCCTTAGAACATAAGATTTTTTTTCCCCACAAAATAAGCCCTTTGGATTATTTAGTTCACCAATGAGTGGAACTAAATATTGTTAGCAAGGGCTGTGCTTGAGGCCGCTAGGAGAGGAAAGTTTATGACTGGCAAGACAGTACATACTCTGAGCAGCAAGTGAGAACGCTCAGGCTCTTCTTGCAGCGTGTAATCTGTTTGACAGCCCCCAGGAACTGCCGAGTCTCCATGACCCTGGAAAGACGCTTGGCACATATATTAAACAGGCAAATGCCTCCCTCCCAACTGTTTATTCATCTCTACTAGTCACAGACCCTCCCAGTTAGGCACTCACACTACAGCTGAATGGCTAGATAATGACTGAAGAATCTTGCACGTGTCTTCACAGTTGTTGCAGTCCAAACCCATGGATGGAAGCATTTCTGGAATAGAAGCCTCTGAAATTAAACAGCGGCCCAGAAATGTAGACACTGGGATTGATTAACATAATTACAGCAGAATGATTCAAATAAGCCAGTGCAAATATTTATCCCCACCTCCTTTCTTTTTTGTAATTCAGTAGAGTCACCATTAGACATCACTAAGTAACCCTGATCTAAGATATTCCTTATATCAGCAGTTCTAACACTGTGGTTTTGTGGATCACTTGCTTATAGTCCACGGAGAGCTGCCTGATCACATGGTACCGGTTCTCATTGTTTACAGAGGTGAAAAGGGAGAGAAAAAATATAGCAAGGGTAACATTTAAAAAAAATGCCTAAGTGATTGAAAGCCAGTGGGATTTAGGTAGCTATATGCTGAGGTTTTTGTGAACTCGGGGACCTGGGCTCCTAGATGACAGACACTTATGACAATTCTGTTGCAAGCCATTCTCATTGCTAAGATCTTTTGTAAATTCAACTACAAAGGAAGGCGGTTTGTATTATAGATGATGATAGGGCAGTTGTCTTTGGGAAACTCTCCAACTTGGGCCTAGGATGATGCAACTTTGTGAATATAGTGGGGAACAGGAGACATTTGACTAGAAGGGTTCGTTTACTCTTCTCCTTGACTTGCATTAAGTCCATGCTATACCCTCACTACATTCAGGACAATGCTTTTGCCCTGTTTCTTGCCTCACTGTTTGTAACTGACGATCATTTGCCATTTGTGCTCATGCAGACACGGATGCTGCCATTAATCTAGTATTATACAGCTGCAGTCTCTTGATGCAGAAATATTTAAATACTGTCTGGCTGTCCTGATGCACTTCCAAATGAGGACGCTTATTTGTTCTTGCATGAGCAGTTCACATCCCTATTCAGGACTTGAAATGAGAATGCTTTAATGTGGCAAAATGTACTGGCAAGCTAACTGGGGCTCCTTTAAATCCTCAGCACCTGCATTGACTTCATTCACAGGGGCAAATTTCTAGACTTCATTACTGACTTAATGGCTTCACACAGCTGGATGTTTCTGCAACCTCAGCAGAGTTGTATAGTTGTTAATTTTGCAAGGAATCTAAAGCATGATCCTGCTCCTATTAATTCACAGATTTCAGAGATTTCATAGACATTCAGGCTGGAAGGGATCTCGGAAGACCATCAAGTCCAGCCCCCTGCCGGAGGGGCAGGAAGTCAGCTGGGGTCACAGGTTCCCAGCAAGATAAGCATCCAATTTTCTCTTGAATGTGTTCAATGTAGGTACTTGAACCACCTCCGATGGCAGGCTATTCCAGACCTTGGGGGCTCAGACAGTAAAGAAATTCTTCCTTATGTCCAGCATGAAACGGTCTTGCAGCTTATTCGACCTTGTCATCCCTTGGGGCGCTCTGGTAAACAAACGTTAATTAAAGTCAATGGGAGTCTTTTACTGACTCCAGTGGAACTGGATCAAACTCCTAATAAACATGTGTAAACTAGGACATTTACCTGGATTCATCTAGTGATGATGTGCTTTGTTATTCTTCTGTTTTGGTTCTGTGCTTTATCTGAATGGTTTTACTTCAGCAGCTGAGTGCTGACAACAAGTGTGCTTTCTAGAGGGAATTTGTTGGAGGAACCATGTAAGAAGTCATCTTCCAAAGTGGAATCATTATTCCAGAACATAATATCCACATCAGGAATTAATCCAAAATAGCTATTCTGGTCAATCTCCCTGTAAAAAAAACACCTCAGATAATTCAGAAAAGGAATTACAGAGGATCCTCTTTTTTCTTCTCCCTTGAATTGTGCTGAGAGGGAGGGCTTTGAACTTCCATCTGTAAAACCTCTCATAACAGAAGCAAGACTTCTGGTGCTAGATACATTCATCACAGGCTAGACTCAGCAGATATTAGAAACTTATAAAAATGCTAAAAAGAAAACAAACTTGAAGTACTTATCAGTTGGGCATACAGCTCACACACAAACCTAGTTTTGTTAAAAAAAAAAATGGTGGCTAATTAAACCCTCTCCAATGGCCCTTATGAAATACAAGGACCAACAGCACCGGATTAGACCATGGTACACTACATGCTACTCCTTATTTGGGTTTTCCCCATCAAAGGATTTTTAAATGATCCCCTCCCCCACAGAAAAATTAGGTGGAAGCTGAGCTCTCTACAGATAGATTTGGGGGACGTTTGCTTTCCAGGAATTTCGCTCTGGAGACATAGTGAAGTTCTAATTGATCTTTTGCTTAGTTCTAGGTCAGGAAACCTCCTACTGATTTTTGAATAAGGACTGAGTACAGCTTCAGGATTTGATCCATAGTGAATAGCTGCGAAGAAGAAAAGACTATCCTGCTATGTGTATTCCACTCCCCCCACTGTTGGAAAGGGACAGCTCTTTTCCTGGGAATCATGAAAGACTTCCCTTGTTATGGAGAGAGAGTAACTCTATTGATATTTGCACTCTGTGGGGGAGTAACCTCTTGCTTCTAACCAGGAAATATCAGATTAAAATAAACACATAGAACATCACTCAGGGAGGCGTAGTTTATTTGTAATTTTTAGTTTAAATTCGGCACTGTTTGTGTTGTCATGTGTGCTTAAAGCCTTGAACAGAAGCACTGGGGCAGCAAAGGTGATACAAGAATAAAGATAAATTAATTAAATATGTATAATATGATTTGGTTATACAATTATATACACTATACGTATATCACTATCTGAAGATGGCAGAGCACTTTACAAAACCAAGTGAAGTCTTAAGAAGCTGTGAGGAAAACAGTTATAGCTATTTTATTGATGGGTAAATTATAGAGTATTATAGAGTACCTGAGTGTCTTCATTAGGGTTTGGAATGGAACTCAAGAAATCCCTGACACCTAGGCTCTCACTTTTACCATTCAATCTGCTGATATATAGCAATGAACCTGCAAATGGAATTTATTTAACATCAATAGCAAAGAACCTGCAACTGGAATATATTTAATAATTATCCTCATGTTGTGTAGATGCTAGTGCATGTACTACCCCACTGATGTACTGTGGTGGCACTTAGGAACACCAGTCATGGATCAAGACCCCACTGCAATGTACAGATACAAGATTAAAAAAAACGGTTCTTACCTCAAAGTTTACAGTCTTCTAGCTTGCTCATCCATGGCTGTGACATCTGCAGTACTAAGACGGCAAGTATGTATTGTTGTTATTATTATTACTATTATAGCCATTATTATTATTACAATTATGATTGGTCATCAGAACTTGTCAGCGTATGCACAGGGGGCAGACCTATCACTTACTGTGATACTTTAACACAGTCACTTTTCAGAGAGGACCTTTACCTTAATGACAAGGTCATCCTTCCTCTCTTGCAAATAAAAATATCAGACACTCACTGAATCATAGGAAGGAAATCCCTTAAAAGTGCACATCTTGGTTTTTGCGCTGACAGTTCTGGATAATGTGCTCTCTCTGTGTTTAAGAAGAGGAGCAAAACAGACGGAAAAAAACTTTCCCTTGCTAAAGCTGTAGTCATCATTATCTGACTCATCATCACTTCTGTGATTCTAACTGACCGCACTGATTTTACTGGGCTGGGAAGTCAAGCATGTAGGAACACTCTTTACTAACAGCCACCTCGCTACAGTTAATTTGTTCAGGTTTCTTTTGGACATATGGAATAAAATCCTTCAAAAACACTGTAATATTGCCAGCTTCTAGTAAGTTTTGTAGAAGGGATCAGAGCAGTGGAGGAGTGGGAAAGGGGGAAGGAGGAGAGGAAAGGAATGGAAGAGGGTCCATATCTGAAGGGAGACTAAACTAGAGGAACTTTACTGACATTCATTCAGCACCCAGCAGGGCCTCCTTCAAGGACGTTTACTGAGATCCAAAGAATCCAGTGATTCACAAAAAGGTATTTACATGCAACACTGCCCTCTGGGAGTAAAGGTGTAACTACTCCTGGATAGCAACAAAGAATACTACCAGTAGCAGACTCCTATTGAAATGTCAACCAGGTACTAGTGCTCTAGAGCAGTATTTCTCAACCCGTGGGTCATGACCCAAAAGTGGGTCGCAAGAATATATGAAAGGGTTGCAGACAAACTTTAAAAATGGATTCTCCTTTAAAGGAAAAAAACGTGGGAAATGGTGACTTTTCCCTTGCAGGCTGGCAGAGTTCTAGCCTGCAAGGGGCTGGTTGGGACCTCCTCTTCCCCACACACTGGGGGGCTGGGATCTGGGGGCAGTGGGTCGGGAGTGAGGGGCACTGGGTCAGGACTGTCCATTGATGCTTACAAATGGGTCCTGGTATAAAAAAGGTCGAGAACCACTATTCTAGAGAATCGGACATAATTAAATTATTAAATCACAGTGCCTTCATTAACACATCTTGTAGGGTTGTTGGTTGTAGTTGTGTTGGTCTAAGGATATAGGCAGACAAAGTTTTTTGGGTAAGTGTGATATATTTTATTAGACCAACTAAAATAGTTAGAAACACTGTTCTTTTGCAAGCTTTCGGGCACAAGCACCCTTTTGTGTTTGTGCCTAAAACACTCCCTATGCCTGAAGAAGGGTGTTTGTGCCAAAAAGATTGCAAAGAACAATTTTCCAACTATTTAGTTGGTCTAATAAAAGATATCATATTTACTCAAAGAACCTTGTCTTAACCCATCTTTAGCACCCAGATCTTTAAAAAAACTGAGCTGTATAAAACAGATGTTCTGGATGTTTTTCTTTATAAATTATCTCTTTTCAGTTTGCAATATTGGAGTCTCTTCTTACAGACCTAGTCCAACTAAGAAACATGTGTTTTTCTATGGAGCTGTACTGATACTACTAGTTGTGTAGGCTCCTGTACAAGCAGGGCTCAAAACAGGGCAGACCACAAAGTAAAAAATGCCCATACACTTCTGGTAGCAGAGATAAAAACCTGAATCATCATATCAGCCATAAGCAAAGGACAAACGTAAATCAGGGAGTTTTGACATTTTTTTGGCATTACATTTTTCCAGACCTCCTTTTCAATGTGAACTGCAGTACCAGTCTCTAGCCCCTGCTGGATTGTGCTTCCAGTCTCGGCTCAGTGTTCCTTCCAAATACATCCTCCCAACCTATGCCCCTTGCTTAAATAGAATGATTTCAATAAGCCTCAATTGTATGAAGATCTGAAACTACCATGTAATTGGGGCAAAGGGTGTATTTGATATTTCCTCACATGGAGTCCTACATCCATGTCTTCTTGAGCGATGTTTTGTCCTGATCTCATAAACTTAACAAGATTCAAATGGAGGTCAATGCTTGTATGGGATTCCCACAACAACCCCCTCCCCCCACAAATGCATGGTGTGGGAGTGCTGGTGATTCATTAGCTGCTACTCTGCAACGTTAGGTCAATGCCACAGCAGGTGGTAAAGAGCAGGAAGGTGCCATCCTTTAGATCAGACAAGAAAACAGGTTGTGACCATTTGTGGTCACTAGAAATCATTTGGCATTTTCTGCAGCAGTGGGAATGTTAACAGTGGGGTACTGGTCAAATTTAAATTTGAACATACGTTACAATCTGCCTTCTTAAACTGCCAGTGCAGTTTTGACAAGACAGTATTCTTTTTTAATATTACTGGTAATTAATTCTCTAGAGTCATGCTGTGTGCGCCAAGTGCTCTGAGATCCTTTGGTGTGAAAGCTAAGTGCTTAGGAAAAAGAAAAGGCTATTTTCAAGTTCAGAAACTTAATTTATCCCTGCTACAACAACTTTGCTGGCATAGATATACCAATATGGCAATGCAGCTTATACCAGCAAGAGGAGTTTTTTTGCTAGTGTCACTCTCTTTACTAGGGCTTTTGCTTATATAGCTGTCAACTGGAGTGTGATTATTTTTTTTCATGCTCTTAAATGACATAGCCACAACAGTAAACCTTTTTAACTATAGGCCCAGTCTCAGTCTTTGTTCAGATATTTTGTTGATGAGTGTAAAAAACTGCATGTTTTACAAACAAAAATGCAGCCTAAGAGTGAGGAGAAACAGCCAGTCAATTTGTGCTGTTGTTTATATCACCATAAATCCAGTGTCAAAATAAGTGGGTTAACCTCAGGATTGGTGCTGTTAAAACTGAGCAGCATTTAGGTGTGGGTTTTGCTTTTAAGAATGTCACTTCTGCAAAGGTGACTGCTGTTACAAAAATAAATTATAATACTGTGGTGTGACACCTTCTGATGCTTTCTGAGTGTTTTATGGATATTAGTTAAGCCTCTTAACACATCTTTGCAGTCTTATTGCATCCTTTTACAACCTGGGAAAATGTAATAAAAAATGGATGAGTCACTTTTCCAGGGTCACAAACTTAGTGACAGAGCTTGGGGTAGAATCTAGGAGTCTCAATACTCTGTGCCAACTTTTGCATCTCATCATGTCCTGTTTAGTAAAGGTGACTTTTCAAAGTAAGTGCTTAAAGGTAGGGTTGGCAGTGCCTGCAAAGATAAGGGGTCACTTATGTTCACAATATGTACATGCCTTGAGGAAAAGCAGCCCTTGATGATCTGTAACTTAATTGGTAGTCAATGCTTGTTATAGTATATTACACAGAAATTAATTAAATAGAAGCTCAAATTGCAGGGGGGAAGGACCTCACTCCCCTTAATAATTTCAGAAGATAAAAGGCTAAAAAATGTACAGGAACGGGTATGAAAGAAAGAGCAGAAACTCCAAAAAAGCTTGCGTACCTTTTATGAATGTCACTAAAGAAGCAACAGGATGAGTTAGCACTGCACAAGGCAGCGAGCATTCCTCTAGCAACGACTCAAGACACATTAAGACTAAAGAGCACTTGAATGTTGCAGTTGTGGTGACTTTTTCTTCCTTGGTTTAAATGGAGCATATGTATCCTGTGTGTATTCGATTACAAATTCCAGTTTAAAACATAGGCCCCAAACTGACAAAGGACATATACATTAGGGAACAGGGGCATGGAATAAATGATAAACAGAGATGTCTTTTGTTTGAGACCCTAGTCTGCAATTCAAGAGACTGGTTTACATTTCTGCATGACTTTTGACAAGTGACTTAATGTCAAAAACTTAATGTTTTTGTTCCTTAGCTTCCCCATATGTAAAATGGCAATAATACTTCCCTACCTTATTAGGTTTACGTGAAGATAGAGTTCATGAATGGCTTTGGGACATTCAGATAATAGTGTTGAGTATTAGAGAAAGACTCAGTAGACAGACAAACTTCAATCCAATATTCTTCAGTTCAGTCTTCTGAGCTCTCTATACTCTACAGCTCCCTGATTAATAGTAAGCTGTCAGTAACACTAGTCAAGCAGTGACCATAGCACACTATTAGCAAACAAAGGTGAAGGGATACTTTTGAACAACACTGCAGATGGCAATATGTTTTCTGATTTTATTTTACGTTCTTATGGTTTTACTGTTATCCCCTTCCACATTTGTGTTTTTTTGTCTGTTCTCTAGAGTCACTCCCACTTCATGTTACCCCAAAGCCTCACTGGCACTAACCTCTATGCCCATAGAGCAAGCAACCTCATCCTAAAGTGAATGACACTTAAGACACCAGCTCAAAATGCAGGTGAACAATGAGTCACTGGGAAGAGCGAGCTCCAAAACAATAAGGTAGTTCGTATTCCCACCTCAAAAATAAAAGAGGAAAGAAGAAAGATATGTCCTCAGTTAGATATGTTATCAGAAACAATAAGAGGAAGAAACAACAAGACTTGAGGCCAAACTGGAAAGATTTAAAACGGGAGAGATTTAGAGTGAGAACAGAAATAAAAATCACACTGTGCAGCAACTTATCACTGAATCCGAGGTAGGCAATAATGACAGACACAAGAGATAAAACTCCAAGTTATCCTGGGACACTGCCGATCTATTTTATCTAATACCTATAACTATCTGGGTGGTGATAGAGATGTGGAGGTGATGAGCAACATGCGTACATATTATTAAAATAAAGACTTTGGAATTCAGCTATGCAGTCTCTATTCTTTTCTTCTTCCTGTGCTCTCTTCCATTCTACACTTGTGCTGTCTCTTTCAGGCTCTCTCTTCCCTTTTGTAATAGTTACTGAAACTCCTTTGGCAACCCCAGGTGGCTGGCCAAAACTTTGGGGTCTGATGGATTGTGCCATTTAAGAGTAGAAACTGATGATGGAATCAGGTGTTACTATGATGCAGTCTTCTATTGACAAAGAACATATAGAATTCCATTTCCCTGGACACAGGAGGAATCATACAAAATACAATATCTTTGCCCCACATCCAAGCCTCTTTCAGTAGTTGTCAGCCAAAAAAAACCAAGAGGGAGCTTACTCGTGCTGCTCTTTGTGTTTCCTCTTTCCTTCCATGCATGTGCTGCAGGTGAAGGCATATGCCAGTTTTGGGTGTAGAGCGCTACTATTTCAGCTATGTGGATTTATAATTAAATGCAACTGTTTCTGTCATTTATTCCAAATGAAAAGCATCTGCTATACCCATTGGTTTCAGTGAGGTTGAACTCATTACATGTTGCTATTTGTACTGCAGCAGTGCCTAGAACTTGAAGCCACGTTGTGCATTGTGCAAGCATTTAGCGCAGCAGAGTAGAATTGTGCTGTACCCACCATCCATGCTTCCTTGTTCCCTTACCCTCTCCGTTAATCTCCTTCCCTATGCCTCCTCATCCCATGCTTACTCTTTCTGCCAGTCTTTACCTCTCCACCTCTTTGTTTCCTGATGCCGATTTGCTCCATTAAGTGAAAAAGTTAAAACCTAATGGTGTCCTGTCATGTGAAACGCAAAGCAGAGAAAGCATATATCAGGGTTCTAATTATAGGCACTTTTTGATGCAACCTATTAGCAGCCAGTTAATATGAATCCAAAGGAAACTTCCCAGCCTCCTAAAGTATCCTTGTTTTTACTCCCCTTCCAGGTCAGTAGTTACATGTTCAAATACAGACATTTCTGTACAGTTCTGACACTGCCATCTGTGGAACCACATACCAGACAGCAGAAATGCTGGTTGCTCTACGTTTCTATGTTCAAACTCTCAAGCAGGTCAGAGATACTGGATTTCCAGTGACAGAAAAATAAATAAAAAACACAACAACCAAGCAGATTCACAACCCTTTCAAAAAGGACAATCATCTGCTACTATCTGGCAACTTCTCATCCTTAGGAAAGTAGTAGTTCAGGCAGGGAGTAAATTACCAGGGAATGTATGTTACTGTTGCATTAACTGCAAATGACATTGCTGAAAATATGGCTGGTTTGCTTTCCCCCCTGTTTTTCATATTCCAAGTTCCTGTTTTATCTCACTTTCTCAGTTCAGAGACAGATACTTTGTTTTACACTATCAATTCAATAATGTTTTTCAAAGTACTTTGCCTATGTAGACTGAAGTAAATGCTAGGAATTCTTATTAAGGCAGGGAGTGCATGTTAGTTCACACTTGTAGAGCATTATATCTATTTGCTCTAATTTATTCTTTATTTATTTAGCGAATGCAAATCTGCAAAGCCAAGCAATAGCCTCCTCGTTAGCTGAGTTGAAAACATGAACAGATATATAATACTCCTTAATATTAGAAATCATGCTGATTAAAAGGTAATCCAGTCATGGTTGCAGGCTTTTAATTTTTAATTATGAACATTTTACTTAAATATTGTTAAGAACTTTTCTGAAACAGTCATTCGCAGTCAGGTTCGGATGTTCAATAGCATTTGTTCAACAGAGTACACTGCAAGGTTCAAAACGACCACTATGTGCTAAACATTCACAACATTTTTGGTAAAAGGACCCTGGAAACATCATCCGCTTTGCATATTTGAATGGAGTGGCTGAATTTGAAAGGGATGCTTATTTATGTATTTTTACCTCAGTCATTAAAGGACAGATTCTCATCGCCCCTTAGCATCTACACATGCTGATGTTTAGAGAAATAAGCATTTCACAGTGAGTGCTATGCTAGGAGTTCAGCAATAATAGGAGCAGAGCGCTGTTTCATGAGACGGCAGTCTGGTTGCTGAATGAATACACTATGAGGCGGAACACACCAAGTATTTTCTCTAGACAAGGGACCGGAGTCCCGCTGTGAGAAAAACAGTGCATTGCTCCCATTATTCCTCTTGTGCTGCAAGTCCTTTAGAATTGCTTTATAAATGAATGTTTAAAACATCAAGTGTTAACAGGGAGCAGAAAAGGGAATTGGGATAGCAAAATGGCACAAAGGCTATGGCTACAAATTGCCTGTTGAAAATCTAAAGATTTCTACAGTCTGGATTTTATAAGGGTTTAGAATTCCTAAACTTGCATAAAAAGAGAGCGGGAAAGATACTTTCATAACAGTCCTTTGCAACCCACGTACAACCCTTTGCGCTGATGAAAACTGCACTTATGACTTGGATAAATCAGAGGTTACTGAGGTCAGCCACAGTTTCCTCAGTTGTAAAACAGGATTTTTATTCCTATTGGTAACAAAGCTCTATGCAGATTAAGATGAAAAACATAATTGAACTTAACATTATTATTGTTTCATGGAATACAGGCTCTCCTTTCATGAAAAAGTATCAGGGCATACTGTAAGTGAATGGGCCAAATCGGGGCCCCGTGCTGCTTCCCTCAGCCCTATGCTGCCAGTTGGACTGGGCCTCATGCTGCCTCCCTGGGGCCCTGCACCACCTTCCTTGGCTGATGCCACAGGATTAGAGCCCTGCACGGACTCTCTTTGCCCTGCGTTGACTCAAGCAGCCCCTGCATGCCCTGATTTAGCATGCTATCCAGCCTGTGGGTCTCCCAATGGGCCCAGACATTTGGCAGTAAGGGAGTGGCAATTGCTGCCACCGCTCCCCTGCTGCCAAATTTTAAGACCCATGGGGACTCCTGTGGGCCAGATGGCATGGCTCTGTAAGCAGGATCTGGCCTGCAGGCCAAGAGTTGAGCACCCCTTATTTAGTTCATACAGGGGGTAAGATGTACTAACAGCAAATATAAGGATCTCTGAAGTTCGCACACATTCATCACTCAGTGATAGCAAAGGACTGTGTTTCTAATACTCCATTAGGTGGCGAGGACTCAGGCTTACAGGGGCAGAGGTGATGTTGCTTATGTGCATGGAATATATTAAAGGACTGCACAGCAAAGTTTTATGAATGTCAGAATGTTTATTTTTTTAAATTTGTATCCAAGGCCAAATTAGCCAAAACTAATTCTATATCCAAGAGCACAGAACCATAAGCAGCCTACTACTAGCAACCATCCTCCACCTGCACCTGGGACTTCAGATGTTTCCAAAACCTTTGGTGGGCGTCCTACTTGCAGGCCCAAGCCCGGAGCCTTGGGGTTCGGATGCCCCCGAGTTTTGCTTGCCCTCAGCCGTAAGGCCGCAGGAGCAAGCAAGGGAGGAGACTCCCACTCCCATAAACTGGGCTTAAAGCCACTGCACCTCGGTAGGTCCTGAACCACGTCAGAAGAGCAATTCTCCCACGAAGCAGCTCAGGAAAACTGCCTTCCTGGACACAGATACGTAGTATTTCCCCTGCCAGGTTAAGAAGCCACTACGCTTGATCTGATCAAGAGGTCAAGAATAAACCAGAGAGAAGAATGGAGGAGCCATTTTAAATAAGGCACAGGCCATCACAGGTTGGGGCGAGTTATTTATCTGCTCTCTCAGCTTCTGTCTTTAAAATGGATGTGATACTTCCTTATACTTGATACGGTTACTAGAAAAATGTAATTCACTAATGTCCGTAAAATAATTTAGGCTTTTTAGATGAAAGATGCTAGGGAAGGTTAAAACTTAATTATGATTGATGGCTTTCAGGTCGATCCTGTGACAGTAAAGCTACAGCAGAAACAGGTGCATGTCTGTGGGCTTTCCAGGCCCAGGAGAACCGATTGTGACCGCCGGCATCGTGAACCCATCCGTGGCACCCATGGGAAGACCCCCACGGACACGAGCGCATCATCTCTTGCCCATTTACGCCAGACCTGAACTCGGCCGCGGGCTCTTTAGCGATTCGCACGCTCTGCATTTTCAAGGGCTGCTGTGACTGGCACGAGCCTCACGGTGGAAAGCTGTAACCCGTGTTCAGCAGCTTATTCTGTTTATTCCCTCTCTTGGCGGCTCTCTGCTGCCAACCAGCACTATCTTCGTCCCACTACAAGAAGTTGTGACAGGGCGCCAGTGGGCGGACGGCTGCACAGTACCGCGGGGGCGCATTTCTCTGGGACTCTTCACCCCATGTGTTAACTGGTGGGATTCACTGCCGCAGGAGGTGGGTGGGCGGGGTGCAAAAGGGGCCTAGGTAGAGGGCTGGAGATGCTCCCTCTGGCTTCTCTGCACCTCTAATGGCGGCTGAGGGGCAGGGTGCGATGAGAGAAGCTCTCCACGAGCCAGGCCCGGCCGCACCTTTGTTGCTTTGCCCGCCCTTCTTCCTCCTCTTCCTCACCGCCCTCTCCGGCGCCATCTTTTTTCCTGGCACCCGTCGCCCTTGGAGGAGCTGTTTTCTCCTCCTGCGGGCCCCCGCACCCCTCCCCTCCCGCCCCCGCGCCCAGATCCGCGGCCCCTTCCTACGGAGAGGGGGAGGGAGCGCCGGCCGGCGCGGCCCACCTCCCCCC